CATTTATATGGGTTCTCTCCAGTATGAGTTCTCTCATGTTCTCTAAGATTAGAGCTTGTAACAAAGGCTTTTCCACATAGAGGACATTTATATGGTTTCTCTCCAGTGTGGGTTCTCTCGTGTTTTCTAAGACAAGAGCTTGTAACAAAGCCTTTTCCACATAAAGGACATTTATATGGTTTCTCTCCAGTGTGGGTTCTCTCATGTTCTCGAAGACAAGAGCTCGTAACAAAGGCTTTTCCACACAGATGACATTTATATGGTTTCTCTCCAGTATGAGTTCTCTCGTGTTCTCGAAGATTAGAGCTTGTAACAAAGGCTTTTTCACATAGAGGACATTTATATGGTTTCTCTCCAGTGTGGGTTCTCTCGTGTTCTCTAAGATTAGAGCTTGTAACAAAGGCTTTTCCACATAGAAGACATTTATATGGTTTCTCTCCAGTGTGAGTTCTCTCATGTTTTTTAAGACAAGAGCTTGTAATAAAGGCTTTTCCACATAGATGACATTTGTATGGTTTCTCTCCAGTGTGTGTTCTCTCATGTTGTCTAAAACAAGAGCTTTGAACAAAGGCTTTTCCACATAGATGACATTTATATGGTTTCTCTCCAGTGTGAGTTCTCTCATGTTCTCTAAGATTAGAGCTTGTAACAAAGGCTTTTCCACATAGAAGACATTTATATGGTTTCTCTCCAGTGTGTGTTCTCTCATGTTGTTTAAGGTAAGAACTTTGAACAAAGGCTTTCCCACACAGATGACATTCATAAGGCTTCTGTCCAGAATGAATATGCTTATGTCTAGTTAAAGATGAAAAATACCTGAAGTGACTCCCACACTGATTACAAACAAATGGATTCTCTCCTGTGTGAGTTATTTTATGGGAACGAAGGTGGGAATTTCGACTGAAGTTTTTTCCACATTCATCACATTTATAGGGTTTCTCTCCCGTGTGAATTCTCTGGTGTATGCAAAGCTTCCTTCTATTATGGAAGCATTTCTCACATTGATTACATTTATAAGGTTTTGCTTCCATGTAAGTTTTCTGGTGTCTATAAAGGTCGCTTCTATGACTGAAATGTTTCCCACATTCACTCCATTTATAGGGTCTCTGTCCAGTGTGAGTTAAGACATGTTGAGTCAATGTGTAGGTCTGAGTGAAAACTTCATCATACCCAATATGTTCAAAGGGGTCTTCTCCTGAGTGATATTTCTGCTGTTGGGAAAGAAATGAGATTGTTACAGGAACTTCTCAGAAACATTTATCCATTCAGTTCTCTATATATAAATTCTAGGCTGACCACTCAGTGATAATCTCCAATTAAAACCTTCCCCAGGTTACTTATGTGCACATGGGGTATTCATCTCCTGCACGCACAAACATTTTTACCTTTGCATATTATATGGATGGAGGTTTCTGTGATTTGTCCCGCAGAACCTTCCACCCTGACCTGCACGAACGCAGGCAGGCTAAACAATGATGTGTGTGAGACTCCTGCTGCATGAGTGACCTCGGGAGCCTGGTTAGTGGACATTAGCTGGCTTCCAGGTCAGAACAGGCCCTTCTGGTCCAGATGCCAAGAGCTGTAAGAGTTGATGTACCTTTCTTGTTCTCCCTTACTGCTTACTCCTGCCCTCATCTATGCACAGACTTCCCTTTCCTTCTTTCGGTTTCTATTAGATTTTTATAATATCAATCGAGTGTTTTTTCCCCTTTGAAACAGAGAGTATGGCTGCCGTCAATCTTTTATGTAGAACGTAACTGGTGTAGTTGGCCGGATTCACGACATGCCTTTTCTGTTTCGAAGAGGAAACCCCCACCCTGATGCTGATATTCCTGAGTGGGAAGATCCGCAGTTTTGCTCACTGGCAAAAGAATGGTCTAAGCAGGTCAGTCTGTGTGAACAATGCGAAGGTAAAATAAAGTCAGCCAAGCCACCACTGCTCACAGACGCTCTGTGGACTCTTAACTGGGATAGATTCCTAGCTCGCTGGGGATGGTGTTTGTTAACAGCCTATAGACAAATGACCACATCGTGGTAAGTGCCAGGAGGAAAAACTAAAATTAGAAAAGGAAGTAGCGGATTTACAATCTAGAATGGCTATGCTTCAATGTCAGACTTACCAAGTCCACACCTATCAGTATGCGGCAGAAAAAATGGCCATACGGTTGGCCAGGTAGAAATAAAAGAGAGGGAAGATGGACACTAAGAAAGTGCACGTAGCTATGGGTTCTGCTGGGCGTGAGTGGGATGGCGACATCTGGGATGATGATGACAGGGGTACAGACAACGCCTCTCAGACGGAGCCACCTAGGGCAGCAGAAGCATCACCCCGTCAGAGAAGAGATGTGACAAGTCCAAGATACTGTGCTACATGAAGTTTTAAGAAAAGGTGGATTCTGAATACACTGCTACATCTGCGGCAGTTTCAAAGACATCTTACCCTAAGACAGACGGAAATAATGGAAGCAACTCTGTATGTATGAAAGTAGGAGATATGTAAAAAAGATATAAGGAACGGGAATGTATTTTTTTGAAGGTAAAAGAAGGTAATTTTGTCCTGGATGAGACTGGTTGTTTAGAGAGAAATGGCTTAGGATAAAATCTGAACGCAAAGTAAAGTTGTAGAAGGTTTGTGAAGGGAGATCTTTGGAATTTTAAGTATGATAAGGACAGACTAAATAAGATTGAAATGAATGGATTTTAAAAGTACATGGTATAAGATTAAAATTCTGCTTTTCTCTCTGTTCAAAAGACAAGTTTCTCAAATTATTGGTCTGCACTTGCTAAGAAGATGTAAACGGTTGTTTTCTTTTTGTCTGCTCAGAAAAACCAGTTTCTATCAGGTCTTTAAGAATCTGTAATTCAATTTAGGCATGTGCTTTGAAACTTTCTAGGGTTTTAACAAGCTTCCCAAGATTTCAATTGCAAATGACATCTTTTTGACCGAGGCCTTTTTATTCGGTGTGTTAAGTTACTTGGAAAGCACTGTCAAACAAATGATGTTAAGCCTTAGGATATGTTGTTTGGGTAAATGCTATAATTATTCTAGAGATTATATGCAATTCCTAAAGTTTTTTGTTTTTTTTTTTTAAGATTTTATTTATTTTTTGACAGAGAGCGAGAGAGGGAAAACAAGCAGGGGGAAAGGATGAAGCAGGCTTCCCGCCAAGCAGGGAGCCCAATCCCAGGACCCTGGGATCATGACCTGAGCCGAAGGAAGACGATTAACAACTGAGCCACCCAGGCGCCCCTGCAATTCCTAAAGTTTTAATAAAGGTCAAATAAGCCCATGCTATCTTGGTTGCAATTTGTTATCAAAAAGATGACTTAAAAAAAAGAAGACAGCAGGAAAGGAAAAATGAAGGGGGGGAATCGGAGGGGGAGACGAACCATGAGAGACTATGAACTCTGAGAAACAAACTGAGGGTTCTAGAGAGGATGGGGTGGGGGGATGGGTTAGCCTGGTGATGGGTATTAAAGAGGGCATATACTGAATGGAGCACTGGGTATTATACATAATGAATCATGGAACACTACATCAAAAACTAATGATGTATGGTGATTAACATAATAAAAAAAAAGGATGACTTAAAATAATGGTTAATTTAGTGTCACCAAGTTTTCATGGGTAACTGTTAAGATAGCTTTCAAAGTCTTTGGTAACCTGGAACTTTAAAGTTTTGCTTGGATGATGAATTGGGATTGAATTCGTTGGATGTCTAGGTCTTTTCCAAATAGGATGAAGTGCTAAAGCACTTGATTACTGAAACAGGCTTGCACTTCTGTCTTCTTACTGCAGAGAAACTAAGGATATTTGAGTCTTTTGATAAACATGCTTTGTGCTTAACTGATTCATAAATTTGCCATCCAAAGAATTCTGGTGTGACAGTTCACAACCAGTTACTACTTAGTTTTTATTGAAGACGCCTATGGGAAGACATTTGGCAATGGGCCCCATATACTAAAATTACTGTTTTCCATGTAGATGCTCACAGTGTGCTTACCTCCACAGAGCAGACCTTCAACAAAGTACCTAACTCACTAGTTCAATCACGGCAAACACAGGTAAGCCTGTGACTGACACCGGACTGGCGAAAAGCGGACACTTGGGAAGGTGGGCTACTCACAGGTGGGCCCAGAACTGTGGGATACCCATCACTCGGGATGCCATGAAAGAAAATGTATTAAAATGTCCAACTTGTCAGATTTGGCAAAAGCAAGAAATCCCACCACAGTACAAGGGGCAGAATCAGCAGCAAAGACTTCCTGCCCAAATTTGGCAAATACGTTATGTGGGGCCATTACCCTACTTCCAAGGCTGTCAGATTTGTGTGGCAGTGGACACTTTCTCTGGGTATTTAATAGTTGGCCCATTTGCCCACACCACCCAAAAGAAAACTATCAAAACCTTAGAGACTATTCTATGATGATGTACCTACTCAGACCCAGAATGATAACAGCTCCCACTTGACTGGTAAGTTAGTAAAAGCTTTTGCCTCCTCCTATAATATTGAATGGATCTGTCCTATTCCCTATTACCCCCAGGCGGCTGAATTGATGACACAGATAAACAGATTTTTTTTAAACAACAATTAAAAAAAGTATGGGATGGCTCTTTATCAAAATGAAACTTACACTTAACAGAGGCTTTAAAAATCCTGACCGATAGACCTATTGGTCAAAATTAGATTCCATTAGGGCAGATGAAGATCCCTAATTTACAAATAAGGTGTATGACAAAACCCTTCTAGCCAATATTAATATGCTGGAATATTAATTCAGATGCTAACTTACCTTCCAAAGCCATCCGACAACATTCCCCCTTCTGCTGAAGTAACTGCTCAAGGAGGGGTTGCTACAATGATACTCATGTACTCCGATGATAAAACATTCTATCATGTTTGGGTTCTATGCTGTCCCATCGCCTGGACTCAAGCCAAGGCTATCTCCACCAAAGTAGGACAACCGCTGATCCTGCCCTGTTGGGCCCACCGCTCTCTACATGTAGGACCTACGTGCTGGTGTCGTGATGGACACAAGATTTACTCCCAAAAACACATCGGACATCTTCTTGACCTCACTGACCAAACTCGTCAAGAGCACTGTAATTTCACTCTGGGATTAACAGCTATCACCTTGTCCGATGACAGTGAACATACACACGTAAAATTGAGAAAGCAAATTCCCAATGAGGTCAGTTTAAAACGAGAATCTATGCTTGTGACAGTGCTAATTTTCCATTACCAACCGTTAATTAATCCAATCAATACTTCCCCTAGTTTATTGGACTGGTTACCCCGTTGAGGAGGGTTTCTACAGGATGCTGTACTCATAACATTCACTGTACTATTTATATGTTGTTGGACTTGTGGATGTATCAAAAGTGCCTTGCAGGGACACACGGTATCGTATTATGCAGGACAACTCAAGGACTGAATGTACAGTATGGGTGGAGGTTTCTGTGATTTGTCCCGCAGAACCTTCCACCCTGACCTGCACGAACGCAGGCAGGCTAAACAACGATGTGTGTGAGACTCCTGCTGCA